ATAAGGGGGCTGCATATCAGAAATTGGATCGGTATTAGCCGATACATCTCCTTAAAAAAAGGCTATTGGTATCAGCCCCAAAAATCTCCATTGGTGCATCCCTAGAAAGGAGCTCAGTTTTCGTATTTCTTGGCTGTCTTTGAATTTGGGATCGGTCCCTATTTTCTCTTCCAGTGCTTTAATTGCTAAAGTTTGAGTTCTTGTTGTTTATGAGGGAGCTTGGAGCTGATGGAGGTGTCTCTGAAGAAGGTTACATGTATACATAGAGGAGATGATGAGGAGTCCTGGGGTAAAATCTGGCTCTCTCACCAGCTTCTCCCTTTCTGAAACCTTTGAGTTTCTTTCCTGATCTTTTTACCTTTCACAACTTTGACTGTGTTTATATTTATAAAACTGTAGAGCCCTCTGGATGTACTGTTTGTAGAAAGGCCCCCAAGGAAATAAGGTGGTGTGGAAACTCAGCAAAGGAAAAGGCAAGCAGGTCATCAGGATAAAACCAAGTCCTAAAAACTTAGTCTGTCCAGCCGGGGAATAGTACCTCTAGGGAATGCGGGGGAAGCCCCATTTCTTCAGTCATTTGGCAACTCGTTTGAGTACAGCACTGTAATCTGTTCCATAGGGAGTAATTCCATGCTGGCAAGGGCATGGGAGGGCGCTCTGTTTATGACTGTCTGCATAATTTTGGATTATTAGCTCTGAAGCCTCTATAAACTAATACTTAATGAGGAGTCAGAGCATTCCTAGGACCCTCCGTGGGGAAGGAGGCTGGGGCCAGTAGCAGGAGGGTATTACAGTGTATGATACAAAGCAATTTCTAGTGTCAGCTCCAGCACTAGTCACAGTGAGAACAATCTATATATTTTTAGCTTCATATTACAGACAGTGTACTCCCCAGATTTGTTCTGCTTTTCTTTTTCCCTGGTCTTTCTGGTAGATAAAAATGCTCGGCTGTCCAGATGAGAGACATTAAAGCTGTTTGGCGTGACCCAGGCCTGGTGTTGTATACCAGGTGGTAGGTTAAGGGTAAGAGAAGCATGGTCTGTATGCTGCAAATTCCTTAGAGCTGTCTGCCTGCTCCCCCCACTCATCCCCAAGGACTATTTCTTTCTGTAAACATACCTGATAGAGTCCAGCAATTTGTGCATAAAGGGGGGGAAAGCACAAGAAACATTTTGGTTATTCATGGGGGAGGCGTTACAGAAATGAACTGCCATCAGTAGTATGGCTTATTCTAATAATGACCTTCAGGAATTAAATAAAAATACAGTATGCACAGCAGATTAGAAAGAACAAGCCAGTTAAATACAAAACATGCTTTGTAAAAACTCGGTGACAGATAAAGGAGGCTGGTAACCTCCAGAATAATTGATGAATAACTGAGCAGGGGGATGAGGGGTGGCAGGGCAAGTGGGGGTTAGGCTGTTGAATATTTCAAGAGTTGCAGCTTACCTTGGAAAAGGGAGAAGGGTGAAAAGGTTATCAGTGCTTGCTTTCCGCCTTCAGTAAAACAAAGAGGGGGGAAGGAATGTGGGGGCAGGCTGAGCCGGCCTGGAGCCTGAAGGCATGAAGTTACAATTCTCCAACTTTAATATCTGCCGTTTCATTTTATATTCATCATGTCAGCATAATCTGCTTTTATGGGAATCGTCTTGGTTCCCGACCAAATGCATTTAGGCCCTTTTGCTTTTAAGTTTGATTGTAATATGAGTTGAAGACTTCAATGAAATGTTTATACATAAGGACTGTAGAAATGGCAAAGAGAAAATGGAATTACAAAATCAATCAGAAGGGATCTTTCTCTGGTGTCTTTCCACTGCTTTCCCTGTCTCCCTCTGACCTTTCTCATGAACAGACGACCTATCGGCTGGCTTTGCACCAGTTCCTGGTGTAGGCATTTGGAAACTATTTCCAAGACAGAGATGTGGAGACTACTTTGAGTTTTCTGTACTTATCCACCAGAGGAAACGGTATATTTGGAGGGCGAGTAACAGCTGTGTTTCTCTGCAAGTTGATTTCTCTTAGAATTAAGGAGTTTAAGGCCATCAAGGAGCATTGGATCATCTTCTCTGACCTCCTGTTACTGTAATGGCCACTATCCCTAACCCGGGAGAAGGATGCATTGCTATTCTTTAAACAAACAAACAAACAAACAAAATGCAAGCGAAGAAACAACCACCTTGTGCATTGCCATTAATGTACCTAGTACTTCACATTATAAGGGTGAGATTCACACCAAAGAGCCTTTGCTATAAGGTAGAAGAAGTGAACTGAAGGTTGTTAGACCTCGACTCCATGCAACGCCCAACAACTGAGGAGACAACAGATCGATGCTATCATGCATCACCTGTACACGTTGCTCATCAGCAGCTTTATTCAAAATGGAGACAGCTTCAGACTAGCTCCAACAAACCAGGGAGCTGCACCGAACATTAATTTTTTTCCATATTTATACACCTTGGTTTATACTCATTAATATGTACTCCACCCTTAGTCCCTCCTTTGTTTCACCATTAGTCCTTCCCATTTTAAGCTCCGCCTCTGTTTACTGTTTGTTTCATTAGCATGGTATTGCCTATGTATTTCACTTATTTACATGTCTTTTTGGTATGAACACATGTCTAAGCCTTTGACCCCACTTCTTTCGGTCACTTGGGCGGACTTCAACCAAAGCCTGGGAGCTTTTGGAGGCTTCTTTACCAGTCACCATTCACCTTTTGGCATATGTTTATCTCATATTCTGTTACCAGTTACATGTTGTCTTTCACAGTCCAGTCTGTTTTTCAGTCCCATGTTGTACCATTTCCACATCCCTAAGACTTCACCTTATTCACGGCACACAGACTTACACAGACTCACTTTCTGCTTTTTTCAGAAAATGGTTGACACAGTTAGAATGGCTACTTAGCATAAGCATTCATAAGCAAAATCTGCTTTACCTTCTAACGATAACTGGTGGTTTGCATCCTGTTTCTTTTACACAATGAGCTACAAGCCTAGTATATTGTTAGGAAAATGCTTGCCTAAGCATCTTGCAGTGTTACTTTTAACATACCATTCTGCCTTGTGGTTAGCAGCTTTGCTAGGCCACAAATTATAGCCTTTTATTCAGCTACAAAACCAATGCTCCCCAAGATCCAAATACTGTCACCCTAACAGCCATAAGTATAAGACAACATTCAAATAATTAGA